AGATCAATAACGAGATTCATATGTTGGTTCCTGTGGTAGAATATGTTAAGCGAACTCTGATATTTTAATAGGGCTTTCCTTCTTAATGTATATATTATTTATTATTATTATTATTTTTTTTTTTTGGAGAAATAGATTACTGCTAAATTTATAGCCATCTGTGAATAGATAATGTTTCCCGTTCTACTTCTTGGAAGTTAACAGTTCTATTTCGTGCGACCTTCAGGCAAGTGGTGAAAATCTTCCATTTACAAATTTCTGAAGCATTTTCACGATTAGACATAAGCACCCCACAATCAAAGGATAGGTAATACCCCCCTGTCCTTCAGGAACCAAGGACATTGTCACCTATTAACTTACACCGAACCATTATTACAATATGCTCCTTGTTCTGACACCCTTTTTCTACTGCATACCAGGCTGCTTCGTGATGTTAAGCACATTCTTGGCTGCATAAGATCTTTGCCCGACTCGAGTAAACCTGACATCCCAAACTGGGGGCAACTTGATGAATTCTTTGATCAAAGATTCGGATCTGAAGCTGGATAATAATATGAATGTGTATTGGCCATTGTTTTCTTTTTCGATGAAGGGTGTCATATTTGAGGAGTAAATAACAGGATACCAGAAGTCAATTTTCAACCTATGTCATCCCCCTTGTACAACTTAAATATCAAGGTACGATGTAAAAAAAACTTTATCCTAATTAATTTTGATGAATCTTTGTCAGTAGGCAAATGTTTAAGCTCTTTAACATTTATGGGCACTTTGTAGTTTCCATTTCTAAACCTTTACGGAGTTTAAGAAACACTGGTATTGCCTAATTTCTTTTCTCTTCTTTTGTTTCTACAACTCGTACAATATGAGGAGAGCTGCATTTTGGCCTCCAAAACTCAATTCATATGTTGCTCCACCTCTTACGTACTACATAGCAATTAATGTTTAGTTCCTACAACTAATTTGAACTGCATAAAGTTCCGCTGGGCCTTTATTTTCCCCTTTCTAGTCTGACTTATGCTGCTTAGAAACTAGTCATGTATATTAGTTTTTCATACTTACGTAATGAAACTTTTCACTATTAGCGTGCATTGTTCAATGACATATGATCATGGATGATTTGAATCATCAGTACATTGACTTGATTTTATTTGCAGTATTATCTGAGTGATTGCTTTTTATGTTCAATGGACAGGTATAAAGTAAAGATTCGGATTCAGATATTTCAACAGAACTTTCCCCCTTCCCCGTTTTGCTGAAACGTTTTGTTTGTACTGGCTAGACCAACGCATTTTGCTGCTCTAATTGTAGCTATGTTTAGAGAAAGAACAGCTCAATTGGTTTCCTTGATGAGAAGCTTCATCCAGAATAGGTTTTAGTTCCTTTCTTTTCTTCCCCCCTCCAATTTCAATTGCCTTGCGTAAAGTTATGCATATTTGTATTTTGTAGAGCAAAATTTATGTCTATTGCTATGAAGAATTGTACTTACCGCTGGCTATGGCATTTCTATTTTCAGGTTTTATATAATAATTTCTTGTTCTTAAATAGAAAAAATAAAGTGAATTTTATGCTCTCAAATTCGAAAGAGATCGAGATTTGCACGCAAACAATGTAAACCTACAAAAGAAGAGAGATTTGATCTTTAATTTAGCTGACTTCATTCGAGATATTGAATTCAAATATTCAACATTTTGTTACTTTGGTAGGTTTAGCACTAGCAAGTGACGTGAAGTTAAAGCTTTAACATTTTCTGTCTGATCACATATAATTTAACTCGGTTGAACTATGTTGTGTATTTTACGCATAAAATTAAAATACAAATAAGGAGAGAGGAGGGTATAAAAGGAAGAAGAGAAATTGGAAAGATGATGCAAGAGAGAATAATGTGAGTGTTGAAGTGTAGGGTGTAATTTAGGAAGGTAAAAAGAGGCCATGTGAAAAACTGGGGAGTTGGAAGGCTGATGAAATGGACGTCAAACTGCCTCCATATTCCATTTTTATCAACTTTCTCTTAATATTCTCTCTTTGTCTCTTCCCTCCTCACTCCTGCCTGCCACCTCTGCCCTAATCATATTTTCATGCTCTTGTATTTCTTTTGAGATCGAACCCAAGAATCTCTTAAATATAATGCAAAATAGATCGGTCGTTGATAAGGTTAAAGAAGAAGTCCTCTCCGACTGAAAAATTCGAACTTCTAATATCTCGATCGATAATATATATTCCTTAAAAAAAAAAAAAAAAAAATTATGCATATAGATATTTAAATAATATGTGTGAGTTAGAGCAGTAGATGAAGAATTAATGAGGTGGAGGGGAAGGGGGGAGAGAGAGGGAGGAGAGAAGAGGGAAATTGGTAAAAATGGGAAGGGAGTGGTTTCTTAGGGTACAATAATGGGAGTTTTTCCGAATTTGGCAAATTCCACAAAAGCACAGCAGAGAGTGGTAATATTGGAGGAAAATGAAGGGCAGTTGAGGAAATTAAGAAATAGTAGTTCCTGATGAAGAAGGTTGAAGATGATAAAGCTGGGTGATGCAGCACCAGAAGTGGTAGTATACATTAAAAACTAATTAATTATTGTTCGGCCCCTGGAACCAATTCTAAGCTTTCCCCTAATTTACTCCTTTGTTACCGATAGGAAGGAAGGCGGAAGAAGAAGCATTGGAAATGGGAAGAGGAAAAATCGCCATCAGGAGGATCGAGAACCGGACGACGCGGCAAGTTACATTCTCCAAGCGCCGAGCTGGAGTGTTCAAGAAGACCCATGAACTCTCTGTTCTGTGTGACGCTCAGATCGGCCTCATCGTCTTCTCCAGCAACGGAAAATTGTTCCAATACTGCACCCAACCAGCCTGGTCACCACACAACTTCCCTCCTCCTCCTCCTTTTTTTTTTCTTATAAACTTAGGAATACTGTTAATTTCTGCTTTCCTTCGCACTCGCAGCATGGATCAAATTATCCGGAGGTACCAGATTGCTGTAGGAAATCCAATTCCGGAGCAGAATATGAACCATCCGGTACGCTCCATCTGTGAATGTAACAATAATTTACACTCCAACAAGCAAAATCAATGGAAGTAATAATGTTGATTAGGAGGAATTGGAGAGGCGGCTGAGGATCATGAGAAAAGACACCGACGATCTTCAGCTGAGTTTGCAACGCTACACCGCCGAGGATTTCAGCACTTTTCAGCTTCGCGATCTCCACGATATCGAGAACCGCCTCCAAAACTCTCTCGACAGAGTTCGTGCTCGGAAGGTAATCAATTCATTAATTAACGTCTTTCACTTTTATTTCATATAGATATCTATAATTCATTTGCGTTTTGCAGTCGGAGCTGTTACAGCAGCAGGTCGACAATCTGCGAAGAAAGGTTGTTCATATATGTACATAATTTATGCACATATCGTAATTAATTAAGGTTTTCCCTTTTCCATGACCATGATTGGTTGATGATATTAGGAGAAAATGCTGGAGGATGAGAATGAACAAATTTACCATCTGGTAATTAAAATTAAGTATATGTTCGATGATTGTGGTTTTGTTAATTTTGTAATCAAATTAATAAGTAATGGAGTGATAATGATGATGGGGGTAGATAAAAGAGCAGCAGATGGCGATGGAGGAGCAGCAGGTGGTGGCGATGATGCAGAAAAGAAGAAGCGATGACGTTGAGGATGAGCAGGTAGTAAATATGGATGGAGATGATGGGTTTGGGTTCGACAATAGTAGTAATGATATTCATCCGCACCTTCAGCTCCAACTTCAGCACTACCACCAGCACCAGCACCAGCATCATCATGAGCCTAGCAGCGTTCTTCAGCTCGCCCCACTGCCCTCTCCGCCGCCACCGCCGCCCTTCCTTCCGTACCGCCTTCAGCCGTTTCAACCCAATCTTCAAGACATCAACCTCCATTCCTCCACCTACGGTACCCTACCACCATACCCTTTCACATGCATCTAGTGTTACCATTTCAATATGATATTATATGTTTACAAGCTTATTCTTTTCATTATCTGTATATATATATAAAAATTATGTATATATTGATGCATGCAGAGTAGTAGGAGTGGAAATTAGAGAAGGGTTTGGAGGCAACAACCTCTTGGTGCTGTGCTGGCTGCCAATTCATATCCTCCTCCTAATTTCATGTCACCAAAACCCCACTTATTTAATATTATTTCAGACTCCCTCTTTCTTCTTCTGCTCTTATATATACTCAATATGCCTTTCTCTATACTATTTTATATCATATCATATCAATTTCCCCCTCTCTCTTTCTCTTTCTCTTTCTCTTTCTCTTTCTCTTTCTCTTTCTCTGCCTTAAAACCCTAATCCGCACCTCATTCTGTTACTCCATTCTTCAATTCTTGGTGTACACACGTTTAGGACTAAAATCAAACAAAACCTAATTTTATATGAATTGTTTTGGAGAATAAAAAATTAAGTTCCATCTGGGAAATTTATTATTAAATAAAATTTTAATAACATTATTATTACTCTCTACTCTCTTCCACGAGAAGGGGAGGGTGGGAGAACATACATGTATTCTTTTGTGTTATTTTAATAATATTTTTTTAAAATTTTCTCAAGTTTATGCTAAATTTATGCATAAACTTCACAATGTAATTTACCCGCAAACATTTGAGACTCGCTGCAACAAAATAATATAATGTAAGTTGTAAGTTGTTCATAAAAATATAGGTAAAGTCGTAGATTTAATTAATTCTCCAACTTTTATTAAAATTATAAATTTAACTGTTAAACTTTTAAATAAATATAAATTTTAATTTTAATTTTGTATTTGATATATTAATTTATTTTTCAAATTTTCAAATTTATTTGAGCATACAAAGTTTACGAGGGGCAAAATTAAAAATTTAGTCAATTAACAAGTAAATGTAAACTCCAAAATTTAGATATTTAGCGAAAAATATAAATAATTCTAGTTTTATTTTCATTGTTATTTTATTCATTTATTTACCTTTTAGTCGTTCCCTGGCCCAACATTTGGCGCCTTAATTTATCCGCCGTCCGTTGCGGCTTTTGGCAAAAGAAGTTGATTCGAAGGCGAGATGAGTCGTCTTCAACCACGCCTCCCTGCGCACTCGTTTTCCGATTGGTTTGTGGGACCAAAACTTTATCCAGTTCATAATTTCAGTTCCTTTTCCCATTTCATCGACTCACATTAACTCGTGAGAGGAATCGCGTTCCAAGTTCATACTCACTGTTTTGGTGTCTCCATGTTAACTCTACAATATTCTAGCGACTGCTTTCTCAACGATGCTCTGTTTGCTTTGACGCAAAATGGTTCAGAAAACGTACCTGCTTCTTTACCATGAGAGCTTTGCAGATCATTAATATGGCCATCTGCTCTGTTTTCTTCAATTAATCAACAAGTTTTGAGTACAGCCTTCCCTTTTCAGAAAGGCCGTTTGTAACAACCCGGATGGATCCAACCTGACCTTTCAATCATTGCAGTGGCTTCCTTTTTCCTGCTCTATGTTGTGGGCAGGTGAACAATATTCTTACTCAATTGTAAATGTAATTGGGTATATGAACGAAACATTTTTGGTTTCGTAATTCAGATTTTATGTTATTGCGATTTTCTGAGGTTTCATTGGTATGCCGTCTTAGTATACATGGAATCTTGATTCGTAACTGATAATTTCAACTCTATATGCTTACCAACATGGAGTTAAAGTTTCATGAATTGTAAGTTCAGATATCATTTGATACATTGCTAACTGTGAATATAAGCCTAATATTGTACCGTCATAGCATGCTGCATATTCTAGCGGCTGATTTTCAGAATTTGTTTGTATTTTGTATTGCTCAATGTTTGATGATGGTCCAGATTTACGTTGTAATTATTTCTCTGGAACCTATTTGACCTCAATTGTTTCGTTCTTGTGCAATTACTTGGTGTTCCTAAACAATATTGTTGTGTGCAATTTGTTCTTTCTTTATGAGAAATTCTACTGTTTTTTTTTTTTTTTTTTTTTTTTTTTTAAGTGAAGAATGATTAGACCTTTCTTTATTATTCGTGGAGATCAGGGACGACACCCTCCTGGATATTGGAACTCTCTCTTGGGCCGCGGTAACCTGTAAGTAATACTATTCTCTTTATAATTTCCCCTGCACTAGTTCTTTGAATTCCAGATGTTCTTAAAGCCATTAGACGCATTCGTGCATTTTATCTCATGGATGTTTTAATGAGACTTCAGTAAATTTTAACTACTTGAGAGGTTAGTTTAATTTTAGCTAATTTATATCTTGAATCTCCTATTGTAGAGAGGGTGTCTGCAATAACCTTCGCGTCCCTTTTCTTTCAGTTCTTCATTTGCGGATGAACATCTCTTGCTTCAGCACATTGATACTACTACTATTTCACAGGTTAAGCAACATTAAGAAATGGAGAGTCACGAGAGGAGTAGTGTAGAGCAGGATCGTGATGCAGAACTATTATGTGTTGGTGACTTGCAGATGTAATCGGTTGAAGTAAAGGTTTCCATGAGATTGACTAAAGTGTCTGATCTGAAGGCTACTTGTCACCCATTCATCTGGCTTGTGAGAAGGTGAGAATGGTTTCAATGATTTAGTAACAATGGTCGAAATTTGAGAACGTACGTTGGTCAAAACTTTTATATGACTTGCTTTAATCTGGGATGTGTAAATTTTTGTAATCATATGCAAGTGTGTGGGAACAGATCATGGCTTTAGAGGTAGTATGTGTTTTAAAAATCCCACTAACGCACGCGTTTAGGTGGGGCCTCTTGATTTATGTTTCTGTCGCTAGATTTTGAAAACTCATTCTTGTTTTATGTTTCTGTTGAAGCCACTTTGAACTCTGTCTTTTTTGGTCACCTTTAGGGACTTCTAAAAATGAAGAGTTACTGATTTAAGTTCTATTTGTATCTATCCTTCTAAACTTCTCGGGATATGGCATACAATGGAATTGAGGGACAAACCAGTTCATAGAATCCTAGAAAGAAAAAGGTAATGAACACAAATATGTCCAGCCATACCTCGTTCTTGTAAGCTCGAATATGGAGGAGTTACGCAATTTGACACCTAAAAAAAGATGGATGGATTCGGTTACTCTAATGTTGAGGGAACTCCACTTCAATATATGAACCTACGAAATGTCACATGTGCAAGTTCAGGTACTTAATGTGCACGTGTATTTGGCTGGGCCACATATTGCACAGGGATGACAGTTAACTGTACGTCACTATAGTATTGTCTTTTGTGAATTGGAATAGTATACTGCAGCTCATGTAGAAATTAGAAACTGAAGTGGTTATCAAAATTTATTAGTTTCAAGTTAAATCCCCTTCTTGCACGAGTATTTATAATTCATATTCTTGATTCTCGATGAAGTTGTTAATGTTTTGGTGGGGATAGAGAGTCAGTCAATTGGTTGTATTTATTAATATTTTCTAAATTTATTTCCTTCGACTTTGAGAGCCCAGCCATCCTTTTCAGAACAACTGTCTGATGGGGGCTTTTTTTTCCGACAAATTTTCTAGGCCTGATGGACCTTCATCTGCCATTTTCAGCTGGTCAAGCTGGTGACGTGCAAAATGGTTCTCTGGAGTAAATGTGAAGTTCAGATGAATTCTCAGTACCATTAACATGAGGGTTGAGATAGGTTTATTTATTCTTTGTCTTAGTTTATTGTTTTTCATTCACAAATCTGACCTGCCAGCTTCCGTAATCTGCGACTTTTCCATCATCTTCCTGAGGCGCATACTGGGTCAAAGTGGTGGTGAACGGAGGTACAATTATGACATATAGATTCCCTTACTTCCATTGTTCCATATTCTTATCTGGACCTGAAATTCATGTTTCAAGTCATAGTTCTAGTCTTACGTAAACAGTATACTGATTCTCTTTTGTTTTAGTTCTGTAACGTGTTTGAATTTTTTTTGGCAATATGCAACTTAGTTGGCACGTATAAAACAATAGTCTTAGTATTATGGATATATTACTGGGTTGGAGTTCTTCTTGTCTTTTAGGTTGCCGCATCATCTGTATGTACTGATACTCTTGAGGTACTTTTTATTGGCTAGAATTTCTAGTTTTGTGCCACATACAGATGATGGCTGTATGGGGGGCCATTTTCGTCGTAGTATGAGGGCAACAGAATAGTAATTGCGACTTTTATTGAATTATTTTACGAGAAAAGAATAAACCGACCTACTGCATATTTGATTTCCAGTTTCAACATAACTTTTGGTAGATTTAATGACAAGAAAAACATCGATCTTTTATAAATCAAGAAAAGACAATACAACTAGTCGCTTTCACATCAGTTCATGTTTTTGTGATGGAATTATTAAAATTTTCTGGTGTTTTGGAATTCCCACGGAAGGATATAGTTTCTTAGACAATATGTTGAGTTGTCTCTTCTAGGTAAATATTTTGGCTAATTGTGAGAAGCTGAGAACTATGTAATGCATTTTCTGTCATACCATCCTTTAGTTTTGGCTAAAAATATCCGGATCTTCTATGTTATACTCCAAGATGCATCATTTCTCGCAATTAAATATCAGTTGTACAACGGAATCTGAAGTTAGATTCATGAATGCTAAGTTTTACAGAGCTCACTCTTGCCATTGCCATCAGTTACATTTATCTATAATCCTCGATCTTTCTGATGCAAGAGTATATTGTATATGCTCGTAGTTACAGAGAGGCAAATTTAAATGAGTTGAATTAGGCCTAGAGAGGAGTTGTACCTGACCTAATGATTTGAATTGGGTTCGGGTTGAATGAAGTCAAGCTAATGGCAAGAGTTGATGAACCAACCTGACGTTGTTAGACTCGGGCCCAATCGACTTAAGCTGTATTCATAATGCACTTTTTAGGTTAGATTGTCTTTCAATTGTGGTCAAAATTAAGTTGACGTTCTAAATATTTTTAAAGGTTTTAAAAATCATTTCAAACAGGTTAAGAGATATAGTGTACTATATGTTGGCAGTCTCTTTCTTCCACATGTCAACTCAAGTCTCCTCGCAGCTCAGGAAAGCCACCCAACAAAGTGTTGATGCATTTTAATTAATCACAGAACTTTGCAGGTATTAGTAATACTGTGGTGTACGTGCACAGGGCTAATGCATTGGTGCAAGAAATACCAATATGAACATAAAACAGTGCTATCAGCCATCAGTTCAGGTACTGTCACCACTCAATGCCTCCTTTCCCTTAATTCATCCAAAAGCTTTAGAAGTGGTCCAACTTTGAAAAATATCAATCACTCGGCCTTCATAATTATTTAAATAGATACTAGTTTATAAAATTTATATTTATTTCCTTCCAATTTTTCGGATGTGATTTTCAATCTATGTTGAAAAGGCACTTGAATTCTTAATCAAATTATAAAAACAAATATAAGTTTTTAAAAATTATTTTCTTTTCGTTTTCAAATTTTGATTTGATTTTTAGAAACACTGTAAGGAAGTGGATAACAAAACATAGGTAAGAGGACTTAAGTATTTGCTTAACAAATGGTTTGTGTAATACAATTACCAAATCAAATTGTTTGTGTTATTTGACTGTATATGATTTAATGTTTTGTTGAGTATAACATAATTCAATTTACTTTATTGAATGTAGTTCAATAATCCGAGTGTTGTATTTGTACAAGTTAAAACATAGATGTCTTTTGTGTAATATTATGTTAATTTCTACCAATTATAACTTGTTAAATGTTTTTATTATTGTAGGTTCTAAGTAGGTGGAATGGGCTTTTGATGTGGTGGTGAGATTGAAGAAATGGGGGCCAGGGAAAGACTTGTAAGCTTTGTGAAATTGATGGAAACGTCATGCATTCGCAATAATTTGTTGAAATGGCAAATACCCAACTATTTCCAAACACTCACATCTATACTTATACTTATATGGTATGATTATTACATAGGCTTAGTGAATAGGTTCAATATATACTTATTTATAAGTTAGGAAGACTTTTCAGGTAAAAAAAGTTGAAACATTATGACTAAAAGTAACAGGGTCGAGACTTAGAGGGTAGGTTGTTTCACCAAGGATATTCTTTTTTTTCATTTGTCTGGAAGGAAATTCACCCATGAAAACAATATAATATAATTGTTTGACACAACCTAAGGGTTTTTTTAGCTTGATTTGAGAGACTATACAAGAGAGGAAAAAAAAAAAAAAGACAGTTTCTTGAAAAGGTGTGCATAAATATATATATAAATGTAAATGTTTTTGTAATTAACGTAATAATTATTGTAAAAATTTAGCCAATAACAAAATTTCTAACTTATCAGAAGGCATAAATTCAAATGTCGCAAAATATAATATATATATATATATATATATATATATATATATACATGAATGGGATTGGTTAAAAATGTGAATTTATGGTTTATTTAATTCAACAATTATGGAAGGGAGAATCTATCTACTTCCTTTAAATTTACCTTTAACCTCATAAAATTTTAAAATAAAATGTATGTATCTATTATTTTGATAAAGTGATAGGTTATAATTTGGGGCGTTATTAGAACAAAAATGTTTTGGTAGTTTTAAAGGGAAGGCGTTGCCACATTTGATGCGTAAAGCAAGATATTTGGAGGTAGATAAAAGGTATGATAGCAATCCAAGATTGTGGCTAACTAATTTATATTTTGGGTAACAAGAGGAAGAATGCAAGTAAGTAGGCGGGATGTGTGTTCCGTGTTCATGCATGGGCAGAGATCAAAATTAAAGGCAATTTCATTAATTTCCAGGCTCATCATTAAGTAATATACAAATTCCCCCAACTTACGCCCCTTCTGCCGCCATGCAAACGGGATCCTCCTGCGAAACGCTTTAATGGCGGCCGCCTCTGCTTGAAATTGAATTGTTAAAATCATGAACAGAAGACGATCTGTTATTGAAGAGCGGCGATCGATTTGGTGAATGAGGAGGATGAGGCAGAAGAGAAGAGAAGAGAAGAGAAGTTCGTCTCTGGTTTGGGTTTCTTCTCTGTGTGGTTCGAGGAAGCGAGAGAGAGAGAGAGAGAGAGGGAATGGCGAGAAGGAAAAAGGAAAAAGGAAAGTGGGCAAAGTGGTGGCTGAAGGCAAGTGCGTTAAGGCTGTATAGATGACACGTGGCGATAATCCAGTGGATCGGGATTCCTGGGAGGCTTCAACAGCAACAACATCAACAACATCAACAGCAACAACAACCCAAAACCCAACACCAACGTATACAATCCACAATGTCAATCTCTCTCTCTTCTGCCATGTCAGAGTGTAACCCCGTCCTATGACCCCGGCGATTCCGTATTTGTGTGTGTGTGTATGTGCTTCTCTCTCTCTCTCTATTTATTCATTTGTCTCCCACATCTGTCTCTTTCATTCTTCTCTCTCCCTCTCTCTCATCCCCAACTCTTCGAGCCCTAACTCTCCAACCTCCTTTTGCCCCTTTACTCTCCTCCCCCCCTTCATCACATACTATCATGCTCTGTTTTCGCTTTTGATCCATAGGTATGCCTTCTACCCTTCTTAATTTTTCTGCCTTACTCTCTTTTTTCCTTAATTTACTCATCTATTATTGCCCAATATGCTTCGCTCTTTCTCAAATCCTGCAATTTCAGCTTACCCCATCTACCCGCTCCTTCCACTTTGTATACTTGGACTCCTTGATTCCGCTAATGTTTTCTTCTTTAACTTTTGATTGTTGTTCCAACTTCATATTTTTGAAGGGTTTGGTAATTGGGTTCTTCACTATTGCATGATAATTGGTTACTCAATGGGGGTTTGGGGTTAAGTATGTTCATTTTTGTGCATGCCCATGTTGCTCAACTTTTATCATCTTTTCAGTTTTGTCATTGTCGATACTCTACATTTGCAGCATTGGGTGCTTCTCATATTCTGGGCTTGTGGTTTGCTCTTCTTGACAGTAACCTGTGTCAATGCAATAGTTGCTTGTCTTCTGGCTAATCTGCATATTGCTAATGTTACAATGTATGTGTTGATTTGTTCCCCATGCTCCATTTTGTTAATCTGCTTATTGCTAAAACAAAAGATTTAATTTTCTGCTTAGCTAGCCTAGTCATGATCATCAACCGTGTTAGCATGCTAATGGGAATGGCACCTGCTTTACGTTTTTGTTCCCAGTACGCACACATACTTCTGTTCAGGGAACTCTAAATCGCAGCATATTAATTCTTGGTTGAACTAGTATCTTGAGGCCTCTTTCCAAGTATAAAATTCTTGGAGTAAATTTCTTGTAATAACTTCAGTTCCATTTGAGTTCACAGAAGTTGAGCTCTGTCGATGATTTGACTAGTGTTAAGTTTAAAGTAAAAGTGGATTGCTGGATAATAGTATGCTTGTCTGCTTTGAGAGGAGAAGTTTCTCTTCTCATGGCTTGTTTAAATAACTTGGTTTATTCGTTTTGGATCTTTTGGAGTATAGATATTATCATGGTCAAAAGTTTGTTGGTAGATGGAAAGTGTGGGATTGATGTCTGTTCTTTGTTTTCAAGACTCAATCCCCGATCTTACTACATTACCATAAATCGGCTTAGTTGTTGGAGCACGTGAGAAGGGTAGAGGAACTTTAGGGAAATAAGTTTTATTCCTATGCTGACCATATATCTAAGATAAAATCCTACGATTTCTTGTTAGGTAAGAAGGATCATACATTTTTCCCGCGGGATTAATTGAGTTACGTGGAAGCTAGCTTCGGTACTCACGTAATTCAAAAAAGAATCAATTGTCATACTAGTTGTGTGAAATTTTTGCTGATGGTTGTGGTATAATAGGCCTGCCGATGAGAGCAAAAGATGCCCTTTTATGGGAGGTCGGCTAACTCTTGTCTGTTAGGTTTTGCGCACATTTACCTCTTTGCTTTACCTTTTTAAGGTAGCTCAAGGGATTGGAAGGGACTGGAAGAAAATCGGGAATTTCTTGCAAGATGACGGAACGAGGGGTCATAGAGTGGATCAAAATTTAGCTGTTGGTTTTTAAGGATAAATGTGGATTTAAAATTGGTATTTATGAATGATTTTTTAAAATTTTCATACTTTTTTTTCTTTTTTGTTATGAATTAGGGTGTTTTTTAATTCGACTGATTAGAGGAAGTATGGATTCACGTAAATTAACGAATTAAAATGATGCTTGTTCATCTGTTTGTTTCTATTAAAATGAAAGAGTGCCCTAAAAATAAATGCAAAAAGTAACTATTACTTGGTCACATGTTCTGCTTTTTCATAAAAGAAAGTGATATTATGTTAGTACCTGTAACTTATAATGGATAATATTGCTATTTTTTTAAAAATGGCTTTGGTATAGGTGGATATGGAAGGTGCATTCGTATCCTGCCCAAAATTGTTTCTTGTTTCTTCAACGAAAGCTTTTATTCTTATATGAGAAAAAATATATTTTTGAATTGCAAGAGACTACGTTTTCTAGATGCTCTGCCCTGGTTGACCTTTATGTCAACTCACGATGTGGTACCTGTATTTTTTTCAAGACGCAGGGTTAAGGGATGAATGAGGATGAATCATCGAGTAGTAAAGTTATTAGTAGAAACTGGGTCATGAAACGCAAAAGGAGAAAGCTTCCTTCTGCTACTGATCTTCACAACAAAAGGGATGACAGGTCACTTGCAATAGAATCCCCTAGAAGTATTTCTTTGGCTAAAGAGAAGTTGAAAAGTGAGGTACGTTGTGATCAGTTTTCATCCAAGAAGAAAGGAAATGATGGGGTGAGTAATGAGTTCTTTTTTCTGTCTAATTAGAATAGCTCTGATTAGTTTTTTTCTACAAGTCTTTTAATATAAGGTAATGTTCTAGCATGCGGGATAAATGGTTATCTTTAAACGATGATTAAATGATGATTACTGGGAGTATGAACCTTGAGTATACTGTCTCCAACTTTCCTCTTTAATGAAAAAGTTCTCTTGATTGTGAATTATTTTATGCCATTCAACTTTGTTCCCTATATTTTTGGTTAAATGCTAATATTAGGCAATAGATATGCACTTGCCTCTCCAAGTTGAATATGCTTATTATTTGTTGATCCAGTATTTCTTTGAATGCGTGGTCTGTGATCTTGGTGGGAACTTGTTATGCTGTGACAGCTGTCCAAGGACCTACCATCTTCAGTGTCTTAATCCACCCCTTAAGGTTTGTTGATTCAATCTTTCATTTGCTATTGGTACAGAGATTTAGTCTTTCTCCTGCGGGCTTTACATTAAAATGAACTGTTTTTCCAAGATTGTCTGTTTACATTGTAAAGATTTGCAATGCTCTGGTCTAACTTCCGCATGAATCTGATATTTATTGAAGCGTATCCCCATGGGTAAGTGGCATTGTCCAAACTGCAATCAGAAGAATGATTTACCATTAGATGCCACAAGCTGTTTGGACACCATATCTAAGCGAGCAAGAACAAAAGTTGTTAGTACAAAATGCAAAAATGGAATCAAGTCTTCTGTCACTGAGAAAGTGTCCCGGATATTTGGAAGCTCCATTCTTGCTAAGAAGAGATCCTCCAGCAAGAGAAAATCAATCTTAGCTCATAAAGTGAAGACTTTAGCTAGGAAATCAGCCACCTCCAGTATGGACTTGTCTTGTAATGCCAAGCCAATTCATCCATCAGATGGTAATACTGTTGCAAGTGTTTCTTCTCCTGCCAATATTGATGATGAAAAGGTATGCGGTGCATCCCAATCAGACTCTCAAACGGAAGAAAAGTCGGTTCCTGCTGTTACGGAGATTTCACCTCATTCAAAAGCTGAAAAATTAGAACCATGTGATGAAGTTCCTGATAAAAATCTTGATATTCTTGAGAACAAGATTGGAATTTCTTGTGAGGATGCATCTCCGAGTAAGAACCTTGTTCTTGCAGTTACTGCTGCAGGGAAGGAGACTAGGAAAAGGAAAAAGAAGTTTAATAAA